TCATCCTCGTCATGGTCATGGTCAGGTCATCAATGGCGGCCATTTGAAATTTTCCCTTACTTTTATATAAGAATGTGCATTTTCCTTCTTCTTCATAACAAAATTGATTGAGATAACTTAAAGCTGTCTTCAAAATCGCTCAGAAGAAAAAGTTGCCTCGAAGTTCTTTATTTATTTTTTAATTTAAAGTTCGGTAAATGAATTCATCTTGGTTTCAATATACGTCGCACTAAAATTTGCAATAATTGTAGAAGTTGCTTTAACTTCTCCCTTTTATAATGTCCGTTAAATATGTAAATATTGATAAATGTATCACGAAAAATATAACTAAGAGTTAAACATGATGAGCATTATTTAATAAAAACGATTATAAATAAACATTTATTACTGGGGGTAACCAAACGTTTCTTTTAATCAATAACCATTTAGATAAACTAAAAGCAAGTTAACTGATTTTAATGTTAATGAAAATAAAAATTAACATATGCAAACGGCACCTTAATCAATGTTCAATTTGGACTAAACTTTTTTGTCCAATCAGTCCTTGTCCTATTTGATTAGAAAAAATTCAATCCTTTGAACTCATATGACAATCCGTCCAACCTTTACACTTGCAAAAAGATTAGGGATAATGACACAAACAGTCCATAAACTTTGGCACAATGTGCTATGTGGTCCATGACTTTTAATTTGTTTAATTTAGTCCATGAACTTTAACCTAATGTTCAATATAGTCCATAAACTTTTAACTTGTTCAATGTGGTCCCTAGATTTTTTGTACATGTTCAATGTAGTTTTTGAACAATATGAAAATATTTAATGTAGTCCCTGGACTTGAATGAATGGAAAGATAACATTGAACATTTTCATATAATTTAGAGACTAAATTGAACATGTACCAAAAGTTCAGAGACGACATTGAACAAATTAAAAATTCAGGGATCACATTATGTATTGGGTTAAAGTTTGAGGATTACATTGCACATTGGACCAAAGTTTAGGACTATTTATGTTATTTTCCCAAAAGATTATGACAAATGTTATAAAAATGAATGTGCACATGTACAAATATCGATTCTTTAGCAGTTATTTTCCAATGTGAGAATCATTTTAACATAGATGACTTAATAAGAATAATGAATTCTTGCTACTCCATGTCAAAAGACACTAAACACGTGAAAGAAAACTACTAGTCACTCTCATATGTTCGACTTATCATATTATGAATGTCACCATCTATGTGGGGATGGTGCTAACATCTAGTCACATTGAAAATTTTACAAGTCAAAATCACATATCTTAAACGAGAAGTTACCGATAAAATGAAAAAGTTATTATGTAAGAAAATGTGGAGTAATACAATCCTAATATGGAAATTTACTAATTGTAGTGATGAAATTGCTCAAGAGAGCCGGAGGTTAGGAGATTTCCAGTTTAGAAACTAAAGGTCACTTGTTCAAAATATTATCAACTGCGTGTATATTGCTCTAAGTCGGTCCAAAAATATCTAGACTTAATCGGTTCTTGAGACTTATACAGTATTTCATAAGCTTTCAAATAGCTGGCCTTCTACGTTCGTGTCCTTTGATTATTTCAAAAAAAAAATCTTAGTACACTTATTTGTACTCATTTTTCTATATGAAAAGCTATCTGTTAATTAGCTGAGCATATCATATATTCCCACCGACCTAGTTGATCCTATTTGATTACAAACAATTTAGTCCTTCGTCCAAATTTGAGCGAGGGGGAGAGCCCTTGCACTTGGCAGGGTCAATTGGCCCTTATGAGAGCCGAGTAACCCTTGCGGCATGAGGGCTTTGCTCGCTATGAGGGCCTGTGGCTCTCGCTTGGCCACCGGTAAGGCTTGACCACTCTCATCGAGACCTTGATAATGATTGCTGGCCCTCGTTGTGCAAGTGGGGTGACGAGGGTGGCAACAATCTCTTTCTTCTCTTGTCACATACCTTCATTTTATGCTAACAATGTTAATGAATGATCATTAGTGTCATAATTGATGATATACCAAAAAAGTTGGGTTAAAAGAGAAATACCAGAGACAAATGATAAATTATGAGGACCACTATATTTTAAAGTACAAAGGCATTGCGGAACAAGCTGTATCTTGCTCTGTCCTCAGTAGGATAGCAATCCCTTAGATTAGTGAGTTACAGATATAGACATCTTTTACATTTGTCTCTAATAAAGCATACATAAGACTAATGCCTCTATTTGCATATGTTTATAACCCACCAATCGGGAGACTGAAAAACCATGATAATTCTAACGCAGGTGGGCAACCACATAACAAATCGACGACTTATGCTTAGTCTATACGGAGACATGGATTCAATTACAGTGCATTGTGACTTTGATCTCGAGTGACTTATCCCCATTTAGGCGATGTTCTTCGAAATCTAACAATTATAGAACCGATCCAAATCCTCATTGGTTATAATTATTTCTTGTGTCCTTACTTATTCAAAAACCCTATTCTATATCGAGTTAATACCTCTTCAACAAAAATGTTTTTATCCAATTTTGTTTCAAGAGCCGAAAGTGCCAGAGCATCATATAAAGAAAAAGGTCAAAAAAAGAAGAAGAAAAAGGGCCGTTTGGTAACGCCAAATAAGTGAAAATTTCGTTCTTTTGTTCCCAGAAATAGTTTGGGAACGTAAATGCGTTTGGTAAACTTTTTGTTTCTCGGCACATTTTTGCAAAAATTTGTCTTAGAAACAGCTTTTGGAAGAGAAACAAGAAGTTAAAAAAGTTGCTTCTTGTTTCTCAAGCACAATTTTGAGAATCAATTTTTTTTTCTTTTTTCATTTCTTATTTTGTGTGTTGTTCTTCTGGCCGAGCCACGGCCGCCGCTCCCGGCTCGAAGTCACCGGCGACGCCCCATGGCCGGGCGTGAGGCGTCACGGCCTCGCCGGCCGCCGGCGGAGGCGAGGTCGCCCCTGCCGAAGGCGAGGGTCGGACCTCGCCGCTGGCGAGCGGCCTCGCCAGACCCGAGCGAGGCCGAGCCTCGCCGTCGTCGCGACGACGGGTCGGCCTCGCCCGGAGACGACGAGGCTCGGCCTCGCCGGATCCGGCGAGGCCGAGCCTCGCCGGCGCCCACGGCGAGGTCGGCTCGCGTGGGTCGCGGCGCGAGCTCGGCCTCGCGCCGGATCGGGCGAGCCGAGCCTCGCCGCCTCCGGGCGAGGCCGCTCGCCCGGCGGCGAGGCGACCTCGCCTCGCCGCCGGCCGGCAATGGTATTCATGCGCACCCAAAGTGTCCGAGGAAAAGCGCATTAATGAGAGCCAAAGAAGAAACGAAAAGACAAAGCAAAAAAGTTGAAACTCCCGGCTTTTGAGAAGTCCCATTGTACGATCTCCCGACGGCGAAGAAACAAAAATTGTACGGTCGCAACTGTCCAAAATTATCACTTTATATTGTTCCATTTATTTTCCGAAAAATAAATAAAATAAATATATTTTACTTAAAATTATTAGTTGTATCGTTCAAAATAAGTAATCGATAAAAAATATCTTTATATTGATAATAATTTATATCTAGATATTTTCGCGAACAATACAAATATTTTTCATTTATTCATTATTGTAAATTATATAAGCAATTATTTACAGAAAAATATTTTCAAATCATTATTTTTTACTAATGTGATTTTTTTTTATTTTTCTTATAATAGGTAACTAATTGTACCTGACAAAAAATAAATCAAATGAAACGAAAAGATTGAGGAAATTGAACTTTAGAGTAATATACTGCATAATATTCTAGATGAAATCATTTTGCCGACGTCGAGGATGGGCAATCGGTGAGAGACCGATGCTAATATTGTATTACATTAGATAATTTTTATCACAAAGACAAAAAAAAAAAAACACATCCTAATGAACAGTAGTCAATTCGTTTTCTGTTTTCCATCCATGCATGCACGAATTTTGCAGGTAAATACATCATAGAAAGTTTAGATCCGTCAAATGAGTAAGTCAGTTTAGGTATAGATCGGGATGAAAATAATCCGACACTAATTTTTTTTTTGGGGTGCTCAATCCTATCCCAATTGACCCGTTTATTTCTTATCGACCATTTGTCACATTGAGCGGACCCTTAGGCCTACGTTTGCAAGAATTTGGAAAAAGATAGGGAAGAGAATTAGAATTAGAATAGAAAGAAAGGTGGTGTGCAAGTGGGAGGACAATAATTGCACCTTTTCTCCAACCTATGAGCCGCTCACACACAACTCCATCATCGAGGGGTAAAAATGTCCAGGTAAATGTTCTTTCCTTTCAATTATTTTTAATCTGTTCAAACAACTCAATTAACAACTCCAAACCATTTCACGAGAAATCATTTCTTCACATATTCTTTCTTGACTTCATATTTTTTTCACGTAGATTTTCTATACCTCCTCCGTTATTTGAGGTTTCTTCTTTTCATTGATTTTTGTGTTATCTTTAATATTTCAAAATCACAATTTGAACTTTTTCTTATAAAAGGGAAATTAGATTTTTTTTAAAAATGTTGGGACTTGGCCAATCATGCTTTGCGTATAACCCGGTGGCCACCCATATCGTTGATGCTAGAATTGAACACCACCCCCACCACCACGATCAACTCCACGACACCGCTGCCAAGCTTGGCGCTGCCACGGCCATTGCCACCACTAGACTCAGCCGCTGCCGCCACTAGAGCCCTATGCTCGGCTACCATAGATAGGACTAATCACCACGCCCCAATTGTAATCACCTCTATAAAGAAGCAAGAAGCACAACCTTGAGCCAAAAAAGAGAGAGGCTCTTGATGCAAACAATGAAGAGGGAATGGCCATGCCACAAAACACAAATTCTAGCTAAGAACTCTAGACCCAAATGTCACTGTTTCAGTTTCTTAAGGCTTATGTTCCCTAGAGTTTAAAAACTGGAGCATTAGGAGATTATTTGGCAACTGTAGTTAAAGTTCCTGCCTTTAAGGTCTAAGTTTACACAATGATGTTTACACAATGATATGACTTTTGTACGACAAAATTTTGTCCATTGATACATCGCTTCCACTTTAAGGTCCTAACTTTTGTCCATCCACAACGCCAACCCCCTCTATGAAGTCATCTCATTGTCCAGCGCACAATAGAAGTCTAGTCTCTGTATAATGAACCCATAACTTCACTACTCTATAGAACGAAATCATCACTTCACATCTTCTATTTCACCGATCAAACTCATCCAAAGCAAAAGGAAATTTCGAGAGGCTGCAAACAATGGGTGGCAACCGGGCTCTTGTCCGCAGTGAACCCGAACCCGAACCCTTGTCGGTTGCCCATGTGCCGCCACTTGCCGCCTCCCACAACGACCGGATCCGCCCGCTCCTCAATGCAATCAACAGGCTGCGAAACCTCATGGTCATGAAGGAGGGCATACAGCTCCCCACCATCGTCGTCGTCGGCGACCAGTCCTCCGGCAAGTCAAGTGTCCTCGAGTCCCTCGCCGGCATCAACCTGCCGCGGGGCCAGGGCATTTGCACGCGCGTCCCACTCATCATACAACTCCAAGACAACCTTCAAGCCGATCGCCCCGAGCTCTACCTCGAGTTCAACGGAAAAATCGTCCCCACCGACGAGGACAACATCTCCAAGGCCATTAATGATGCCACTGACGAGATCGCGGGTCATGGGAAGGGTGTCTCAAACGCACCGCTGACTCTGGTCATCAAGAAACACGGCGTCCCGAACTTGACCATGGTCGACTTGCCTGGAATCACGAGGGTGCCCGTGCACGGTCAGCCCGAGAACATCTACGAGCAGATCTCGGAGATGATCATGGATTACATAAGGCCTGAGGAGAGCATCATCCTCAATGTCTTGTCCGCGACCGTTGACTTTTCCACTTGCGAGTCCATAAGGATGTCGCAAGTAAGTACACTCTAGACACGCTTGGCTCTTACATCAATTGAATCCTAGAATGATTTATTTTACTCTAGGAAATGAGTCTATACGATTATTCGTTTTTGTGTTGCAGATGGTGGACATGACCGGCAAGAGAACTCTGGCCGTCATCACAAAGGCTGATAAAGCTCCGGAGGGCTTGCTCGAGAAGGTGGCGGCCGATGATGTCAATATAGGGCTCGGTTATGTGTGTGTGAGGAACAGGATTGGTGACGAGACCTATGAAGAAGCGAGGCTGGAAGAGGCGAAGCTGTTCGACACGCACCCTCTGCTGTGCAAGATTGACAAGTCCATCGTTGGTGTGCCTGTCTTGGCACAAAAGCTGACGCAGATTCAAGCCACCATCATGGCCAAGTATTTGCCCGAGATCGTCATGAAGATCGATGACAAGCTGGACGCAAACGACGCCGAGCTTAAGAGGATGCCCAAGAATCTGGCCTCAGTCGAGGATGCTTTGATGGCCTTCATGGAGATCATGGGGTCGGCGAAGGAGTCGCTGAGGAAAGTCTTGCTGAGAGGCGAGTTAGACGAGTACCAGGACGAGAAGGACATGCATTGCACTGCCAGGCTGGTGGAGATGCTGAACCAATACTACGGTGAGCTTAAAAACAGCACCGAGAACAACCTGAGGAGTAACTTCTTGTTGGAGGAAATGGAGGTCTTGGAAGAGGTCAAAGGGATCGGCCTCACGGACGTCCTCCCTCACACCGCCTTTCTCACCCTTTTGCAGCGCAAGGTGAAGGAGATATCGAGCAAGCTGCCGAGTCTTGTGGATCGCGTATGGGACTGCATTGAGGGAGTTGTGATTCGGGCGTTGATGCGACACTCGGAGAATTATCCTCAGCTGCAGTCTTCGACGAGAAGAGCAGCGTCCAATCTGATCAACAAGATGAAGGGGAAGACAATGAACAGGATGATGAAGATTGTTGAAATGGAGAAGCTCACTGACTACACTTGCAACCCTGAGTACCTGTTGGAGCGGAACAAGTTGATGACCCTGCAGGACAGGTTCGTGACACACTATAAAATCTCTAGCACCATGAAACTCCAGGGGATCGGGGACGTCGACGTGGCCCATCTGCATAATCGCAACCAGCAGCTGATTCAGCAGGCGTTCTATCTGAAGGTGAGGATGACCCAGTACTGGAAGATTGTGCTGAGCAGGTTTGTCGACTCGGTGGCACTGCATCTGCGGTTCAGCGTTCAGAACTTGGTGAACAACGAGATGGAGAAGGAGATTAGGCGCGAGCTGAGCGGGCCCGGCATCAAGAGGATGATGGAGGAAACGCCGGAGGTGGCGGAGAAGCGCGAGAAGCTGAACAGGAGCATAAAGCTGTTGAGGGAGTCTGCGGAGGTGTTGGCCAAGTTCATGGACCGGATTTCTACCGATGGTGACTACAATCACTAATTAGTGGTGTTGTTCAGTTTTTTCTTTTTTCTTTTTGGCTTGCGAGGGATTATGTGATGAAAAGACATTCATCAGCGTGTTCTTGTTTGGTTAGGTGGTTCTGTGTGGGACTCTACTGGACTTCAAATAGCTTCCTATGATTAGTTCTTGATGATGTACTAGTTAAAATTGGTTTTTGAAATCTTAGAGGCCGTTTGGTTAAGTTTATATATAAACAGTATATAATAATTTCTTGAAGCAAAAATAAATAGTTTTTCACGTCAAAACACTGCTTGGATGGCTACGAATAAAATTGGTTATTTCAAAAGAAAGCAAAAGCCATCATATTTTCTTATCTCGAAAGCACAAAACTTTGGTCTTTTATAATTGGAAAAGTGATTCTATCTTTATACAATTTTAGATTTTTTTTTGTCTCTATATAATTTTAGAGGCCAAAAACATACTTTTAGATTAACCGAGGGCAAATTTTGATGCCAAAAGACTGCAAATCTCATCTATGTAAGAATATGCAGTTTCGTTCTTCTTCACTTGTATCGATCGAGATTTCTTAAAGCTATCTTCAACATCAATTAGAAGAATAAATTGTCTCGAAGTTCCTTTATTTGTTATTTAAAGCTCGTCTTGTAAGTGATAAGTCTATGCATATGAATTTATCTTGGTTCAAATATGCGTGGGGCTAAAATTCACAACAATTGTCTTACTTCATTTAAACCTTACTCTTCCATTTCACTCAGAACTTCGCTGATTAACCATCACTACAATAGAAAAGTGGGCCTTCCCCAAGGGCCTCTCAATCAAAGTTTTCGTTGCCATGTGCTCCTTTTTATCATGTCCTTCAAGCATGTACAAGATGAATAGTGTATTATATATTCCTCACATTTTTTTATATGTAAGTATCAATATTGAAATATGTCTCTTTTGTTTATTTTAATTAGTTGATAAATAGTTTAAATATCTAGTGTATGAGTGAAAAGTATCATGAAATGAAAAAATAAAAAAAGTATAATTAGCAGTTAGACATGATAAATATTATTTTAATGAAAATTATGTTAAATAAACATTTATTATCAAGCGCAACCAAACGTCACTTTCAATTAAGAAACATTTAAATAAACTAAAACAAGTTAAATGATTGTATTGTTTATAAATTAAAACAAAAATAAACATGTCCACACAGCACCTTAGCCAATGTTCAATTTTGACATTAATTTTTTTTGTCAGTTCAGTCCTTGTCCTATTTGATCAGAAACAATGTGAGCGTTTCAGCTCCCATGACAATCCAACTTAGGTAACGCACATTTTATTAACGGGCCATTGATTTGTATAGTCAAATTGAGAACGGGGATAGTGCCGCCACCGTGCTAGCGTCGTGAAGGTGACTGGCCCTCGTCGTGAGTGAGCATATGAGGGCTTGTTTGCCCTCATTTAGATCTGGGTGAGGGGCAAGAGTCCTTGCGTTTGGTGGTGGCGGCACAACCACATGCCACCGCCGAGCTAGGGTCAATTGACCCTCAGTAGAGCCGGCTGACCCTTGTTGGCAAGCAATAGCACCAGCAAGTGGGGTGCCAGTAATTTCTTTCTTCTCTTATCACTTACTCTCATTTATGTGAATAATGTTATTAAATGCTCATTAGTAGCATACATTATAATTTACATAGCAAGTTGGGTGAAAAGCGAAATATTGGAGACAAAAGGTAAAAAATTATGAGGACAACCATTAACCATATTTTAAAGCATAAAGACATTTAGGAACATGTTTTGTTTTGCTCTATTTTTAGTTGGAGCGCGCAATCCATTGATTAGCGAGTTCCAGACATAGACATTTCTCGCATTTATTTTTAGTAAAGTACAGACGGGAGTAATCGCTACATTTAAATATGTTTGTAACGAACCAATTGGAGGATTGACTAAAGAGCTGGTTGGAAGGAGTTTTCTCCATACAGAAAAGAAAAAATAACGATCCGATTAGTTGGTGGAGCCACCTTGTACATGGAAAATCTTTTGGTGAACTAGATTCGTAGGCAACGGCGGACAAAAATTTAGGCACCTAGCATTCGATAAGCCGAGGAACCGGATGATAATTTCGCTAATTAGCGTTGTTCGTGGCATTGATTCTTTCACGAAATGCTTACAATATTTTAATGGAAATGTTCAGATATTGAGATGTGCTTTTGAATATAATTTTTTTTATTGATGATTTTTAAGAATTCAATAATTATCTTTAATTTTTAAAAATGTGAAGGGAAAAGCTCACGAAGTTGGGTACGCGCTTTAAAATTCTTTTTAAAATGGAATGCCATTCTTTCTTCCAACAAACCAAGGCAAAAAATAAAACCTCAAAAAGCCCACATGTCCGGATATGCAAGAATGTTAGCGGAGCGACGCTGATTCGATCCCCGCAGTAGGAAACGTTTTGACCCACGTGATGGGCCTTCGGTCTTTCCTCCTCCAATGGCCAAATCATCTCTCCTCCTGATCGATCCGATCCTGCCCATCACCGGCATTAATCTCGTCACGGGGCCTCGCCGGGCCCTCGCGGCGGGGGCACAACGAGGGCGTCGCGGCGCCTCTTTGTGGCCGGCAAGGGTCTGGGCGAAGGCTGCGACGCCCTTGTGGTGCCCTGCGAGGGCTTCGTGGCCCTCGGCCCCCACCTGTCCTCGTCCAAGGACCGGTAGAAGTCGCCAGCACATCGAAGAAAAAAAAAAGAAAGAAAATTATTTAATTAATTAAAAATTCCAAAAAAATTTCAAAAAATTATCCACGTCAGTATCGATCACATCACATAGAACAATTGGCACCGATTGGACTACTACGTTAGCGATTTCTTGTCAAAATTAGTCGGAAAAGCTATAATGACAATTCGTTAAAAGGTTTAGGACTAACTCGACAAAATCTTAAAAGGTTTATAACAAAATTGGCACAGTTAAAAGGTTTATGACTAATTGGCCGCCGTACAATATTTGTAGGATTTTTTGGACAATTTTCTCTCCAAAAATATTTAGACTTAACTTGTTCACGAGACTTATAACAGTATTTCATAAGCTTTAAAATAGTTGGCCCTCTACGTTCGTATAATTTGATTATTCAATTTTTGTAAGGGCCAACCACTTGCCAACGATATTGTTTGCTTTGGGCCACAGCCCTCACAGTTTGTTCCTCTGGGCAACCATTGGTAGTTAAGACTAGTGCTACACCTTATATAGCACATCACTTCACCTTCCCCAGGCAATGTGGGATTCGGTTCATTCCTAGCTCCTTCGCCATTTTCGAGGTGGAGCCGCACTTCCATCCGTCATAGGACCGGGTCGTTACAGGCCTACCAGCTTCCGCTTGATTCGTCCCCGAACCACACACTTCTAGCTAGGCTTAGTTCTGATACCATTGTAAGGGCCGACCTCTAGCCCCACCTGCTAACGATATTGTCCGCCTTAGGTTGTAGCCCTCACGGTTTTGTTCCCAGAAAAGACCTCGTTGGTAGTTAAGACTGGTTCTACACCTTATATAGCACATCACTTCACATTCACCAAGCGATGTGGGATTCAGTTCATTCCTATTCCTTTCGCCAACCTCGAGGCGGAGTTGCACCCCCATCCCTCGCGGGACGAGGTCGTTACAATTTTTTTTTCTTAGTACACTTACTTGTACTCATTTTTCTATATGAAAAGCTATTTATTGGTCAGCCGAGCATATCCTCTATTCCCGTCAACCTAGTTGATCCTATTTGATTAGAAACAATTTAGTCCTTGTCCAAATTTGGGTGAGGGGCAAGAGCCCTTGCACTCGGTGGTGGCAATGGTGGTGGGATGACCACTTGCCACCACCAAGCCAGGGTCAATTGGCCCTTCCTCATGAGAGCCAAGCGACCCTTGTTAGCGAGCAATGGTAACAGCACCACATGAGGGTTCTTGCTCATTGTGAGGGCCCGTGGCTCTCGTGTGGCCACCGGTGACGCTTGACCACTGTCATCGAGACCTTGATGAGGATTGCCGGCCCTCGCTACGCAAGTGGGGTGGCGGCGATCTCTTTCCTATCTCGTCACATACTTTCATTTTATGCTAATAATGTTAGTGAATGATCATTAGTGCCATAATTTATCATTTACCAAAAAAGTTGGGTCAAAAGCGAAATACCGAAGACAAAGGATAAAACATTATGAGGACCACGTTGACTATACTTTAAAGTACAAGGGCATTTTAGAACAGGCTATGTCTTGCTCTATACTTGGTCGGATAGGAATCCCCTAATTGGTGAGTTACAGATATAGACATCTCTCGCATTTGTTTTTATAAAGCATAGACAAGACTGATGCCTATATCTACATATGTTTATAACCCACCAAATGGGAGACTGAAAATTTATGATAAGTTTAAAGTAGGTGGGTGACTAAAATACGAATCAGTGACTTATGCTTAGTTCGTGCAGAGACATGTATTCAATTACAATGCATTGTGACCTTGATCTCGAATGTCTAATTTCCGCATTTAGGTGATGTTCTTCAAAATCTGACAATAATAGAACTGACCCAAATCCTCATTGGTTCTAATTATTTCTTGCAATGCATTGTGACCTTGGTCTCGAATGTCTAATTTCCGCATTTAGATGATGTTCTTCAAAATCTAACAATAATAGAACTGACCCAAATCCTCATTGGTTCTAATTATTTCTTGTATTCTTAATTTTTCAAAAACTCTATTCTCTATTGAGTTAATACATTTAAAACAAAAATGTTTTATCCAATTCTTTTTCTAGAGCCGAAAGTGCCAAAGCGTCATATAGAAAAAGGTTTAAAAAAAAAGGAAGAAAAAGTGTCCGAGGAAAGGCGCATTAGTGAGAGCTAAAGTAAGAAATTTGACAATACAAAAAAAAAATGTTGAAACTCCCTGCTTTTTAAAAGCCCCATTGTACGGTCTCCCCGGCGGTAAAGAGAAAAATGTACGGACGCACCAGTCCAGTTCTCCAGCGGAGCAGTGAACACGTTCAAATCCTAAATATAATTCAGTATTAATATCATGAAAAAATTTAAATTAATATATGTATGATAAATTTATTTAAAATTAATTTTTTAATTATGAAAAATCCTAAACTGATACATCTACGAAAAATTTATCACAAACTAATTATTTGACCACCAAAAAACCCAAACTGATATATTTATGACAAATTTATCCTCCGTTAGTTTTAATTTAATTAGATTAATATCTCAAAAAATCACAAACTGGTACACCTGTGAGAAACAGATGATAAAACCCAAAACCGGTATTTCTGTCAACTATCACGTATCATTTAACAAAGAAATTTAACAATAAAATTTAACGGAGGGTAAATTTATCGTATGTGTACTAGTTTGGGATTTTTTGTGGTCAAAAAATTAGTTTAGGGTAAATTTGTCACATGTATATCAATTTGAGGTTTTTCGTGATATTAACCCTATAATCAATTTAGACTCCGTTTGTTTCGCGAAAAATGCATAATTTAAAAAATATTTTACTGAAAGTTATGGCTTGTATCATTTGAAATAATTGATCGATGAAATATATTTTCATTATTGACAACAATTTATGTCTGAACATTTTCGTAGACGATGAAAATATTTTTCGTTTATTCATGATTATAAGTGACACAAGCAATTATTTTTAGAAAAATATTTTTCAAATCATTCATTTTCCATGAATGTAATTTTTTTTTATTTTTCTTAAAATAAATAACTAATTTCAAATCGAATCGAACGAAAAAACTTTGAGGAAATTGAACACAATCTTCGGAGCAATGAACTGCATAATATTGTAGATGAAATCATTTTGACGAGGACAGGTAACCGGTGAGAGACCGATGCTAATATTGTATTACATTAGATAATTTGTATCACAGAGACTGAAAAAAAAACACATCCTAATAAACGGTAGTCATTTTGTTTCCGTCCATGCGTGCACAAATTTTGCAGGTAAATGTAGGATAGAAATTTTAGACCCGTCAGATGGGTAAGTCGGGTTGAATTCAGATATCGAAAATAATCCGATTCAAATTGACCTGTCTATTTCTTATCAACCCACTTGTTCCATTGAGCGGACCCTTATGTTTGGAAGACTTTGGAAGCGTCGGGGTAGAGAATTAGAATTTTTTTTTGGTCGAAAGTGAATTAGAATTAGAATTAGAATAGAAAGAAAGGTGGTGTGGAAATGGGCGGACAATAATTGCAGCTTTTCTGCAACCCATGAGCCGTTCACACACAACTCCATCATTGAGGGGTAAGAAATGTCTTGGTCAATGTTCTTAAAAAATTTTCGATCAAAAAAAAAATGTTCTTAAAAATGTTCTTTCCTTTCAATTTTTTTTTAATCTTTTCAAACTACTCAACGAACAATTCTTCTTCGACCAAAAAAAAAAAAACGAACAATTCTTCACCTTTTCTCCACCCTCAATTCATATTCTTCCAAATAATTTCAAGAAAAATCATTTCCTTCACTTATTCTTTCTTGACCTCGTGTAAAAACACGTAGATTTTCTCCACCTCCTCCATTATTTGAGGTTTCTTTTTTCATTAATTTTTGCACTATTTCTAATATTTCAAAATCACAATTTGAACTTTTTCTTATAAAAAGGTAATTTATATTTTAAAAAGATGTTGGGCCTTGGCCAATCGTGCTTTGCATATCGCCTGGTGGCCACCCCTATCGCCGATGTTAGAATTGAACGCCACCCCATCTCCACCATCAACTCCACGGCACTGTCGCCAAACTCGTCCAATATGAATACTAATAATCACCATGCCCCAATTCTAATCACCTCCATTAAGAAGCAAGAATCACAATCTTGAGCCAAAAAAACAAAAGGAGGCTCTCGATGCAAACATTGAAGAGGGAATGGCCATGCCACAAAACACAAATTCTAGCTAAGAACTCCAGACCCAAAAGTCACTGTTTCGGTTTCTTAAGGTTTAAGTTCTCTAGGGTCTAAAGGCTGAAGCATTACGATGTTATTTGGCAACTGTACTTAAAGTTCTTACCTTTAAGGTCTAAGTCTACACAATGATATGACTTTAGTACGAAAAAATTTCGTTCATAACTTTTGTCATCCACAACACCAACCCCCTCCGTGAAGTCATCTCATTGTCCAACGCACGATAGGAGTCCCAGTCTCTCCATAATGAATCCATAACTTCACTACTCTGTAGAACGAAATCATCACTTCACATCTTTTATTTCACCGATCAAACTCATCCAAAGCAAAAGAAAAATTTCGAGAGGCTGCAAACAATGGGTGACGACCGGGCTCTTGTCCACAGTGAACCCCAACCAGAACCCCTGTTGGTTGCCCACGCGCCGCCACTTGCCGCCTCCTACAACAACCGGATCCGCCCCCTGCTTGATGCAATCGACAGGCTCCGAAACCTCATGGTCATGCAGGAGGGCATCCATCTCCCCACCATCGTTGTTGTCGGCGACCAGTCCTCCGGCAAGTCGAGCGTCCTCGAGTCCCTCGCCGGCATCAACCTGCCGCGGGGGCAGGGCATTTGCACGCGCGTCCCTCTCATCATGCGACTCCAAGACAACCCTCACGCTGATCGCCCCGAGCTCTACCTCGAGTTCAATGGCAAAGTCGTCCACACGGACGAGGACAACATTTCTGAGGCCATTAATGATGCCACCAACGAGATTGCGGGCCATGGGAAGGGCATATCGAGCGCTCCACTGACTCTGGTCGTGAAGAAAGACGGCGTCCCGGACTTGACCATGGTGGACTTGCCTGGAATCACTAGAGTGCCCGTGCACGGCCAACCCGAGAACATCTACGAGCAGATCTCGGAGATGATCATGGATTACATAAGGCCTGAGGAGAGCATCATCCTCAATGTCTTGTCCGCGACTGTCGACTTCTCCACTTGCGAGTCCATAAGGATGTCGCAGGTAAGTATACTCTAGACACGCTTGGCTCCCATATCAACTGAATACTCGAATGATGAAATTAACTCTAGGAGATGAGTCTATACAATAATTCGTCTTTATGTCGCAGATGGTGGACAGGACCGGGAGGAGGACTCTGGCTGTCGTCACAAAGGCTGATAAGGCTCCGGAGGGCCTGCTCGAGAAGTTGACGGCCGATGATGTCAATATAGGGCTCGGTTATGTGTGTGTGAGGAACAGGATTGGTGACGAGACGTACGAAGAAGCGAGGCTGGAAGAGGCGAAGCTGTTCGACACGCATCCTCTGCTGTGGAAGATTGATAAGTCCATCGTTAGTGTGCCTGTCTTGGCACAAAAGCTGACGCAGATTCAAGCCACCATCATGGCCAAGTGTTTGCCCGAGATCGTCAAGAAGATCAATGACAAGCTGAGTGCAAATGTCGCCGAGCTTAAGAGGATGCCCAAGAATTTGTCCTCGGTCGCGGAGGCCATGACGTCCTTCATGCATATCATGGGGTCGGCGAAGGAGTCGCTGAGGAAAGTCTTGCTGAGAGGCGAGTTCGAGGAGTACCCAGAAGAGAAGAACATGCATTGCACGGCCAGGCTAGTGGAGATGCTGAACCAATACTCTGAAGAGCTCCAAAACTGTGCCGAGAATGACCCGAGGACGAACTTCCTTTTGGAGGAATTGGAGGTCTTGGAAGAGGCCAAAGGGATCGGGCTCCCTAACTTCCTCCCTCGTACCGCCTTTCTCACCCTTTTGCAGCGGAAGGTGAAGGGGATATCGAGCAAGCCAACGAGTTTTGTGGCTCTTGTTTGGGACTACATTGAGGGAGTTGTGATTCGGGTGTTGATGCGACACTCAGAGAATTATCCTCAGCTTCAGTCGTCGACGAGAAGAGCAGCGTCCAATCTGATCAACAAGATGAAGGAGAAGGCGATGGATAGGATGATGGAAAGTGTTGACATGGAGAAGCTCGCTGACTACACTTGCAACCCTGAGTACATGTTGGAGTGGAACAAGTTGATGTCCCAGCAGAACATGTTCATGGATGCGATCGACCACGTGTCGAAGCCTAGCAACATTGTCCTCCAGGGAATCGGGGAGGTCGACGTGGGCAACCTGAGGCTTCGCAAGCAGCAGATTCAGGAGGCGTTCGATCTGAAGATGAGGATTACTGCGTACTGGAAGATTGTGCTGCGGAGGTTGGTTGACTCGATGGCGCTGCATCTGCTGTTTAGTGTGCAGAATTTGGTTAACAACGAGATGGAGACGGAGATTGTGGGCGAGCTGATCGGGCCCAATGGCAGCGGCGGCATTGAGAGGATGCTGGAGGAAGCGCCATCGGTGGCGGCGAAGCGCGATAGGCTGAGCAGGAGCATCAAGCTGTTGAGGGAGTCTGCGGCGGTGGTGGCCAAGATCATGGACCGGATCACTACTGTAAGAATTGGTCAAAAGGAGGGGACAACAACATTAAATGGAGAGAGACAGAAAGGAAGAGAGAGAGAGAGAGAGAAAGAGAGAGAGGTGGTCTTGCTCAATAAATGAAGAGACAACAACATTAAATGGAGGAAGAGAGAGAGAGAGAGAGAGAGAGAATAAAAGAAAAGAGAGAGAGGGATGCTCGGCAGAGAGCACGCCGAGAAGAGAGAAAATAGAGAGAGGGAAAGGCAGAAAAGAAGAAGAAGAAAGCCAGAAAGGGAAGGGGTATACGAGAGGGAAAGGCAGAAAAGAAGAAGAAGAAAGCCAGAAAGGGGAGGGGTATACGAAACGGACACCTCCTCAAGTCAATTCAACTTCGAATTGCAACGTACTTTAAGGATTTATGCTCCTTGTTCATTTAATCGGAATCGTTTTTAAATTTTAGCTCAAATTCGGAATTGCGAGGTCTAATTTAGGAATTGTTAAGTTGAGATATTTGGGAATTTTGATAGTTTAGAATGTTATGGAGCCATAGGATTTTATAAAATTCGATTTAGACTTATGATTTGCTCAAAACAAATTTTCGAAATTTAGCACGCATAATGAACAGTGCGCGACCAGCAACTTTGGGGCGGAATTCCAGATTTTGGGTTGGCAAAGCTATAGGTTTTGTATTAAATCGAAAGGGCTTTCTTTGGACGATAAGCTCGTGTGAAACGGAGTTCAGTGCAGAGATGTTGAGACTATAGGAAAGGAAGAAGAAAGAACAAGTCTTCTATACGTATCAAATATTGGTTAATGTTCTGTAATTGATTCTGTTCTTGAGCTAAGAGAAAAACAAAGTAGTTAACATTATGTTAGTTCAGTTGTATAAATTTGTTTCTTCTGTTAATTCAGTTGTATAGTTGTACTTTCTAGTGTATGAGCTGAGCGTGATATAAAGTAGTAAGATACAAAGAGAGATGGTGTGCTCTCAGATGAAATTTTGTATGAAGTTCTGAGTTCTTCAATCGTGAATTTCCTTCCTTCTTCCTCGAGTTCTTCACATGGTATCAGAGCTTTTCTCTGAGAGCAAAGCTGTGAATCTCAATCTTTTCACTCGAAGAACACAGCAATGGCGGTAATAATACCAAGATATCCTTTTCCTATCCACGTAAACATTGCTAACTTCGTTACGATCAAACTTGCAGAGGATAATTTTCTTTTCTGGCAAACTCAGTTTCTCAGATTTCTCCGGAGTCGAGAGCTATTTGGTTTCGTCAGTGGAGAAATTCCACCACCACAGAAGCTACAACTCGATATTAAAGGGAATGAGACTGGAGCTGTGAATCCTGATTACAATGATTGGGTGAAAACTGATCAACTGGTATCATCCTGGATTAGTGGTGCAGTTTCTGAGCATATATTAGGGTTGATCATTGGCCTGGAAACATCTTCTGAGGTATGGCAAACATTACTGAATCGTTTTACACAGAAATCAGTAGCTAGAGAGTTTGAACTGAGGGGAAAACTTCAAGCATGTCATAAGCGAAATAGAAAGCTTTCTGATTATCTTAGAGAATATAAACTGATTTGCGATAAGTTAGATGCAATTGGGAAGCCTGTTGATGAGATAACCAAAGTCTTTGGTGTCTTGGAGGGCTTAGGCTCAGAGTATGAGAATTTTCGAACAACTGTATACCGTTTGAAACCTCAACCTGACTATGATAAGGTGATATCACAACTAGAAAGATTTGAAACGAGACTGCAAAACTATTCTTCCAGTCAGTATAATCCTAACATGGCCTATTATGGAGAAAGAAGTCTAGAAATAGAATCGAAGGTGATACTTGACAGAGAATTGTATCAACAGAATTTTGCGTTTATAGGCCAGAAAGGGAACAATCGTGGGGGACGTATCTATGGTAGAGGTCGTCCATTTGACAATTGAGTTCGTAGTTATGGATATCAAGGAAGAAGCCAGAATTATAGACCATCTAATCTGAGCCAAGTTCAGGAGGTTCAATCTTTTAGTCCACGGAATAATTTCTCTGGCTCAAATCATGGCTTTCGACCTTATGCTAGTTCATCACAGCGGTATCAAGATACTAAATCCTATCCATCTCCCAACTTAGCAGTTCACAGGAACTTGCAGGATGAAAAAGCCACAAATGGAGTTCGAGTAACTTGCCAAATCTGCAAACGTCTAGGGCATGATGCTCTTCGATGCCGGTATAGATTTGATAACTCGTATCAAGTTACATCTATTCCACAAGCTTTAACAGCAATGCATCTTGAGGATTCTACAGGCAGTGAATGGTATCCTGACACAGGAGCCACAGCTCACATCACAGCCAATACGGGTACAATTCATAACTCCTCCAAGTACATTGGAACTGATTCTGTAATGATAGGAAATGAATCATGTCTTCCTATTACTCATACTGGTGATGCATTGTTACTTACTGCAATTGATGCATTACCTCTCAATGATGTGTTGGTAGTACCTGAAATCAAGAAAAATCTTCTTTCAGTTTCAAAACTAACTGATGACTTTCCCTGCTCCTTTGTGTTTGATAAATATGGTGTCTATGTTAAGGACAATCGAACCAACTCCACAGTGCAGCTCGGGCTAAAAATTGGGGGACTTTATCGAGTGGATCAGATGGCAACAAAAGCTCTGTTTACACAACGACATAAAGCTGTTGGAGAGGACATATGGCATCAACGACTTGCTCATACTAACACAAAGACCTTGAAGTATCTTCAACAACAGCAGTGGATCAGCTATAATACGAAAGCTTCCTCTGTATGTGGCAGTTGTCAACTTGTCAAGAGTACAAATTTACCTTTTTCTTTATCTCATTCTGTAACTGAATTTCCTTCCTTCTTCCTCAAGTCCTTCACAAGAGAGTTATAGCGCGAGGAAATTTGTCGCGCGAGAAGCCTTTTATCGTACGGACGGTCATTAGTTTAAATAGTGAGCGTTTTGACTATGTAATAGCGTAGTTTAATCGGGTAATTAGTTTAAGTAGAATTTTAGTTGGTTTTGACGTTGATTCTCGTTTAATTGATATGATTACGACATTGTTGGTGTGTATAGCTACATTGTTTTATCGTAGGCATTTTCCAAGTGAGTGTTGATATCTCTTTTATGAGTTTATAAACTCATGTCTTGAAAGTAGTAGAGATTTCAGTATCGTATAAGTTAATAAAGCATATTTGTAGCATAAAATGTGGATCGGGCAATTACTACCATTTTGTATTAAGAAGGGTTAATACCACAAAAAGCCGCAAATTGGTACATCAATGACAAATTTATTTGACATTAGTTTTTTTTTACCACCAAAAATTCTAAATTGGTTCACCTATGACAAATTTATCATCCGTTATTTTCCGTTAAATTTTATCGTCAAATTGCCGAGTTTGATGACATATGGCAATTGATGGGTATACCAGTTTAGGATTTTTTTTATTATTTTATTTTTTTTATTTTTTATTTATAATCGAGGTGTCCGCGCAGCCGACGAGCTAGGGCTCAAACCAGCGGTGATGCCCGACTAGTCCTCGAGGGGGGCTAGCGCAGCATCCCACCGCCACGACCCCCCACTTAAATCATCGATGGGCGAGTTTTGAACCCAGGACCTCTCGTGAAAGGAACTGAGTGCAAACCAACGCGGCCACCGATGGGTGGGTAATACCAGTTTAGGATTTTATCCCTTAGTTTGTCATAGATTTATCATTTTGTGATTTTTCGTGATATTAATCCAATTTAACGGAGGGTATATTTATCACAGGTGTACTAAGGGTTTTTGGTAGTAAAAACATTAGTTTGGAGTAAATTTGTCACAAGTGTACCGGTTTGGAATTTTTCGTAGTATTAACCCATTTAAGAATGATTTGAGAATGGTTTTACAAAAGGTATTGTCAAAGGATATATTTGTACCACTTTGTGAACTGGTTTATGAAATAAATTCTGAAATGATATGAGAAATGCTTTACAAAAAGTATTTCTACCAAATGAGCTGAGTTGTGAAAGGTTACGTGTTGGTTTGTAAAATGTAATCCGTTTGTTGAACGAGGCAAAAGATTATACGTTTTAGTTTGTGAAACCATTTTCTAAGATTGATTATAGATTGGATTTCTGGTATTGTAGGATGATGATTTGATGCTCAATATTGCTGTGAACCCGGGTAGGGGTTTCTAGGTATGCATATTGGTTTTAGGATATTCTTTCAAGTCGAGCATTGACATTGTAGGTGGAGACCTTACCAATAGGGGAATCTTGGTTGCCTTGTCATAAGGCGTTGTGTCTCGACCATAATTTGATATCAAGCAATAGAGGGATCGATGGAATACACCATCAATGTGAGATGTGATGAGATTAATCAATGGAAAAGATAATTGATATGTGAATTATTGAGATTGATCAATGGACTTGACCATTGATGTTTGAATTGAGATGATGGATTAAATTAGCATTTTCTGATTTGTATGAAGTTTTGTTGAAATGAAACAACTCATATTTTAATTTGATATGTATATTATAAGAAAGAGTTGGATTATGAGTTGCTGGTATTGCTTTATATATATATGCATAGCGGCTGCTCAATCTAATTAGAAGATATGCATTGCTCACTGGGCCGTGGTTGCTTACTCCACTCATCTTATATATTTTTCAGGTTCCACGGTTAGTGATAGGTAGGATGATAGCGCTATCGGTGGGGAACTTTTGATAGTAATATTTTAGATATGAGTTTTGCTAGTTGTATTATTCCTAAGATGATACTCGTGGAGTTTAGCTAAATTGAAAGATGTAAATATTATTGTTGATGGATTTTAGAAACTCTGATGTTGAAACCAACCTGAGTTTATCATATATATAGATGGATACATATATATTTTGATAATAGGTTGTCGGTTTTGTTTGAGGTTGCGTTCTTCATGAGGAAAGATGGCCGTGTCATCCCTATTATTGATGGTTTTGGGGTGTGACATTTATTGATATCAGAGCTTAAGTTCTGATCTATTTGGGAGTAGTTCTAAAGGTTGTTTTGTGTAGTTTTAAAGGTTTGTTTTGTGTCTGCAAATGGGTGTTGATGGGCTCACTATAGTTCTATTAACGTTGTGTACACAAGTTACAGCATGAGTAAGGATTAATTAGAAGAAACCTGAGTGATGCGTGAATCCAACCCACGATCATTTTACATGGGGTTTTCCAAAAAAGAGTACGGGCTCGTTTGGCAATCTTTTGTTCTTGGAAGCTCAGAAATAATTCTTTTTTACTCTGTGCCCGGGAACAATTTCTAAGCATTTGAAGGTGTTTGGTAACTGCCCAAAATTTCTATTCTTAGAATAGAAAAAGAACAAAAATGCGTTTGGTAACTACACAAAATTTCTTGATTATAATAATATTTTAATAA